AGAGTCATAAATGAGCAAGGTACCTATATTTATTTCCATTTGAAACATTTGCTTCAATTAAATTTATCACAAACACGATGTAGCAATCACAAGCTATTCCACAGGCAAATAGCCTTGAAGCAGAAGTTACCAATTCTCCTCTGAATACAGTGTGAAAAGATCTTTGCCACCTGAACGCTTTTCCATTAGAATGTGCTAGGTCTTCAAGGTTGGATAACCACAGAAATAGCTTGCAATATGCAAGTATACATCTTCCCCTTCTCTATCCGCAATAGGATGTCACGCACAGTCATTTGTATGCCGCGTTCTGGCCTGAACCCTATCTGGTAGGGAGATAGACCTTGAGATAAGGCCTTGTTCACTGACTTTAAAACCATTTTGCTCAAGAAAGAAAAGGTGCAGCACAGGTGGTAATTAACTAAGTCCATACATCTCATGGAGAGCTTCCTGCATAGTGAATACTTGGAAAAAAAATCCCATTCTGCCTACTGGAGCAGCATTAGTTTTCTCTGTGTAGCTGGAGTTGCTAGTGCTTTTAAGGGTATTTCAGAAAGCCCATGGTTCGAAGGCTGCAGATTTGAAGACCAGGTTTCAATGTTGTTAGGTATACAAACATGAGAAAAAGGAGAAATGTTTCTATTCCTGCAATCGAATTACGTTTCTAGTTCTCTATAGAGGTCCATCCTGAAACCATACGTCCTTTCTTTCAAAGTTTGTTTTTTGCTTGGATTTTCTTTTTTAAACGCTATTCTGCCCAAATGTTGCTCAAAGTTCCCAAGGCAACACAAAGATAACCAAGAATAAAGCAGCAGCTCACCATTTTTTTCAAAGTTCTGACATCTGGAATTGAACTGGTCAAAGCACTGCTGTAGAACAGGATAAGGAATCACCTGGACTGAAGACTACCTCCCTCTTTCGTAGATGTTTGGCATATGCATTCACATTACTTAATTTTTACTTCAGGTACACTGTATTCTAGAAGCAAGATATTTGGCTTATCAGATATTGTGGTTCTCTAACAAGCCACACTCAGATTTAGCCAAATCCACAACTGTGGCATTGAGGGCTCAGAAGTATATGCAGGAAGACTGCTGCACCATTTCAGCTTACATCTTTGTTTAGTGGAGATAGGGATCTGTGCATAACAGGAGACAATTTATGTCTTTAATGTATTTATTCAATCTAAACATCAAGTCCTCTGCACTTAACATAATGAGATTCTGGTCAGACTGAGACTTCTAGGTCTTCAAGCACTTCAGGATAACGTTGGAACAAGCACAAAGGCAAAATAAATTACAATCTACAGTTCAGGGGTTAAACAAATCTGTAACTGTTAGGCATTATGATGAGACCTTTGTGAAGACAGATTATACCAGAAGTACTTATTGGTACATTCTTCAGTTGAGGTACTCGATCCATGCTGTTTTCAAAGACTCAAGAACACATAATTCCTTAGACTTGAACCACACTGCTAACTCCTCTTGCCATAAGTAATGCATATACTACCATGGGCATTCTGCCCAGCTCTAGATTTCCCACTCTATGGCGTGAAATATTTTGGTTTTCCTCTAAACCATTCAAAACCTAGACCTATATTCAGTGTCTGCATTCTACATCTACATTCAACATCTTCATTCTAAATCAATTTTGGTATCAGTTCTTCAGCAGTATATAGAATGTACATTAAACGACGTTTACTTCAGAGAATCACAGATCTGGTTCATTATCAGACTTGTCTATTTTGAAATAGGGCAGCGAACACCAACTAATTTTCAGCATACAGGTATATATATTTGACAAACTATCACTGCTGCCCTTTTGAGTAGTTTTAACAAATACTAAAAAGCTTGAAATGTAAAGGAAATTGAAATGTCTATACTATATAGTCCCACTGTAACACCAGCCATGATCAGCACCATGAAAAGCCATGAAACCTCACACTGCTATAACACACACAGAGGAATAAATCTATTTAGAAGTTTCCTGACCGATTCTTACTATCTAGTGAACACACATAAAAGGAGAAATGAGGCTTCCCATTACAAGCATAGGTGATTGCAGTCATGAGTGCTGCTCCAAAACCAACTTTCTACCTACCACCCATCCGTCTCAGTCTGTACTGCTTTCTGCCACCCATTGTGTCTGATAGAGAAACTAAGATATATTTCCCAAAATACATCAGACTTTTGTAAAAAGAAACATACTATACACATGAAAAAAACATGTTAGAGACATGTAATCCAATACGGCACAATGTTGATAACTATCCTTCATGTATTTCAGCTATATAGACTGCATTTTAAAATATTTTTAACAGATTAGACATTACAGAAAAGTTGAGGTGTAACACTAGGAAACAGTTTCTAAAATAGTAATACTTAAACTTCCTTCTTCCACTTCTAGTAGAAAAACTGCTAGTGGCCTAACTGTAACTGAAACACACAACCACTATTTGAAGAAAAAAAAATACTAGATGATTCTTCTAAGTGTTTACCTGGTTCAGAGATAAGCTTTCACATTTGTACTGTGTATCCAGACATTATGTTAGGAGGGGCCAAATGTTATTTACACATACAGCACCACACAATAAGTGGACTATGTAAAAGGAGTAGAAAGCTTTAACCAGAACTATCAAAACAGGATCTGGACCAAAATGAAGCCAAAATAAAAGGAGAGAAATAGCAAAGAGTACAGTAATATTAAGAGATACCCAGGAAAGCTCTCATATGAGTTTTAAAGCTTACATGTTATTCCAGTTTTCACAGGGGTCAATTTGGCTTTTTGTTTGTTTTCGTCTCTCTCTCGCTCTCCATATGTATGTATTTATGAATACGTGGTAATATTCCATCAACTGAATTTTTGTTTCAGATCAGTATCCTTTGCTCACTTGTGTCCTTTCTGTAGTGCAACTGTCATATACTAAACAATCTTTCCTATAATGTATTTCATTGTTCTATGAAATGTACATTTTTATTTGAACATTTTTAAAAGAATTCTATAGAGAAACCATTCATTAAAAGAAGTGATTCAAGTTCAAAAGAGACCTTTTTTCAAATATGGTACTCACATTGAAGAGAGGAATCTAGAAGGTCTCCATGCTTCTGAAGACTGCTGTATCTTCCCTACAAGAGATCACTACTTCCTACGGCTCAAAATGTTAATGATGGACAGCGGTTATTTTTTCTTCTCTGGGCAGTTTGTATGCATTAGATGTTTTAAAAGCATTTCTGCAACTCCTCTGCCTGTTAAATTATCAGCAGCACACTACGAAATGTATACCTTATTTCTATAACCTGGGTAGATCAATATTCTAAAAGCTCTAACTTCATCGTTTTAAGATTGAATTAAAAAAAATCCCAGGACAGGTCAAATCCTTCTTATCATGTTATCATTGACTTTAAGAGTTTACTCACTTGACAATAGTACTTTAAGTATGTCTGTGAGACCAGCCTAAAGTCTTTAAAGAATACTACTGTCAAGTTAATTTTTTTTCCCTCTGATTTGGTTCACTGAGTTCTTATTCAATACACCTGCCATCCTTTTGGTAAGTGCAAAGCTCCTCTTTGACACCCCCCGAAGGACAAATATACTCATATGCTTTTGGGTCTTATGGCCAAATTTACATTTTGTACTTTGTAGAAGATATGCTGCACCAGACATACCACCACCCATAGCATCAGCAAAAATGTTCTTGTACGTTCTTCATCAAAGCATGCTCAGTTCAGATTTTACCATGGCAGCAAACAATAAAACCAGTTACTCAAATTCACCCCACAGAATCCCGGCATTAACCAGAAGTCTAGCCAAATACCTAGTAGTAATGGTTGTCACTGCTCAAGAGACACTCTTAGCAAATTTCCAGGGCCTCAAGAATAAAAGTTATTCTGCTGATTTTTATTTATTTATAGAGTAAAAAATAAGTGCAGAAATTGTAGAATCTGCAGTTATTTTTATTCTCCTCAGTAGGAGGATTTTGCTTTAGTAGGAGGTAAATTGCTCTCTGTTTACATTGTCTGTAATAAAAGCCTACAGTTGAGCAGCCTTGTTCTCACACTGCAATTACAAGGAGAGGGCTTTCATGGTCTGTGCTCTAAGACTCTGCAGGCCTCAGTTGGCCTTTTGGCCACAATTTGATCACCCTTCACTTTTGTAAAACCATATATTACGCATCTTCAAATCTCCAGAAGGGTCAAAGTATAGGAAAATTATTTAATAATCAAGTCCATGCCCAGCCCTTACAGATAATTAGTTTTTACAGACAATTATCTACAAGCCTACAGACTAGGGGCTCTGATTCAGCAGAGTACGTAGGCAAATGCTAAAATATTTATTCTGAATAAACTTGAGCAGGCACTAACTTCAGGCATATAGAGAAGTGCCTGATTGATTATGAATGGACCTAATACATTAAAGTATTTAAATGGATGATTAAAACCTTGATTTGGACAGCATTTTATATGGATTTATACAGAGTTGGAACACCAAGAATACAGTGACCTGCTTTTACAGCTGTGGTTGCACAGCAGCTACCAAATTGTGAATATTACCAACTTCATTAAAACAGAGAGAGGTATTACATTTCTTGGGCTTTTTTTTTTTAATTTTATTTTACTTTCATGTTTTAAGAGCTATTTAAGTATAAAAACTTAATAGCATTTCACTGCACTCTCTATTCCACTAGAGGTCAGCCTGCAACAGAACCCCAAGCAAACACAGGAACTGCTGCACACTGGTAGCACTGACATTATTTTCTTTCTCTATTTTATCTATTAGAAAGATTTCTTCAGAGCCATAACTTAGATCTCTCACTAAAATGGAGCAACAGGAAGATATAATGGTGCATTTCATTTATGAATGACCTATAATAAATTACTATGAAGTATTCCAGGTGCCAAACGAGAGAATGCTTTGTCTGCACATGAACTATATTTCACATACTTTAATTTGGCTGACACATAAAACTCATTTGACATTTTGCAGGTATTTCTTTGAAAGGATATTTGGTTCTTGTTGAGCGTTAAGGTATGGAGGTGAGGTAACCTGGGTAACAGAAGGTCATTTCCGAGTAGATTGTTGTCCAAGATCAGCTCTTCCAAGTAACTGAATGTTTTCAGTCCTTCTAGTGACCTGCAAACGACAAAGGCAACAGGAAAAATGATACTCCACTAAATCAGGGAGGCCATTATGAGCTGAAATAAATATTTTAACCTTCCCTTTCAGGAGTGGGAATAGTTTTGGTTTGGGTCTGTCAGAAGAGTGAATGACAAGCATTAGTGGCAAGGGGAGTGCTGGCACTGCAACACATCCTTCACATGCTGGCAGGATGAAGGATGGGGGTCACTTAGTGAGTAGCCAGGATCCAAAACAAAAGGCTTCAGATATGGGGCCTGCAGGATGAATTTGTCAATGTCTTGTGCCTTCAGGCACCCAGCCTCGCCTGACCCTAACCTCCATTCCCAAGATAAATAACTCTGTCACAGTTCACCTTCATTCCCTGGACACAAATTTAAGTTGTCATCCATCATTTCTGCCAAGAAATATCATACCCCGCTAACAATAATAAATACAACTTCAAGTATCATTTCTTAGCAGTTACCTTACATGCAATAATAGGAAATAGAGAAGGGATTTTTTTTCCTTTTTATTAACCACTTAATTTGCTTCTTGAGTCCCTGCAAACAAAATAAAATGTTCTTTACACAATAAAATGCAGAATTACTCCAGACAGAAAAGGTATTTGCTTTCTTTTCGGAACTTACTGTCCCACTGTCAAGCCACAGGTCAGACTGCAGAGAGCAGATTTTAAAAGGAACAATTCACGATATGGAAGTGCAGATGATGGCTTGTAAATAAACAGGATTCTGGAGGTATTCATTCCTCTGATAAAAAAGTACAGGGAAAAAACCTAAAAAGAACACTTTGGTACCTTGTTAAGGCATCTGTTCCAAACTTGATTCTTAATGCTTGCACATTCCAACAGGAAAAAAAACCCCACACATTAATCAACTAAGACACATGGTATACGGAGCATACGCACAGACACGCATTCACAGCTCATTCACCTACCAGACACCTAAAGATATGCTGAGATTGCATGACTTGACAGCTGATCTACTATGCCTACCAGTGGGAAGATCATCACTGTATCTCCTGGCTGTTTTATAAAATGTGATTAATAAGGGAGATACAGTCTATGCTATTTATTCAGTTTCCAATGACATTTATACTGAGGGGATTTCCTCACCCTCCCCCTAGTTTTTGGCAAAGGTCAAAATACAGCCAAGGTCCCTGTTAGAGAGTTCTACAGGCACTAATACTGGAGGAAAATACAAATATTTTTAGAAAGTATATGGGTTTCAAATTAGACAATTTAACATTCATCTGTCCAACAAAAACAAGATACTGCTTTTGTAGATACAACTTACTGACCACTTATAAATCAGTTAGAGGGTTCAAACAACCAAAAGAAATCAAGTCTGTGACCTTTACACTTGGTACTGTACACTAACCTATGAATATTCAAGTAACATTTGCACAACACTGAAACAGTGTATTTCAGTCCGAAGACTCCAAAGCACTTCCAGTCTGTTAACTTGGCATTCTGAAAGGGAGGTACAACTATTACTAATGCCATTTTGATGCTGGGCAGCCAGACCTGAAGAAAAATTGCCATGCCTACAACCTATGGCATATCTGTATCGTTACAATGCATTGAGACTACAGTTTCTGAAGCTGAAAGAATAAAAGCCTCTATTATAAACATTATACTGAAACAACCACCACAGTAACAGTCACACTTTTTGCATTTGCCTTTAACAAGCTGTTTCAGAAAAACTCGATTCAGCCTACATAAACTGTACGCCATTAAGAGCTGTGCTGGCATGCTGTATTAAGCTAGCTATTTCAGCAAAGGGTCGCAACAGACTTGGTTTTGCCAAAGTCAAGATCAGACCAGATATCAGCAAACATTTCATACAGCGCTTTCCCCCAAGTACCTTTAAAAGGCAAAATCACCCAGAGGAAGTAGCAGTGAGTTTATCAAGCTGTTATGAGTTTTCATTTCAGTTTATTTGACAAACTTAGTTTAGCAAATTCCCCTTAAATACTCTTTATTATATAAATAGTGGATTATTTCCAAACCTCACATTTCAATGTAAGACTTTGACTTGCCAAAGGAGTTCAGAGAAGGCCACCTTCTTGTCAACACCACAGAGCCTTATGGGATGTTAATAGGTCCTTTGTGAAAAAACATTGCTTGGGCTCTGGTCAGTGTCAGCATCAAAATACACATTGTTCCTGAGTTATGTTACGCAAATATAATACTCTTATCATGAGAATCAGCAAATGGTTGGCAACTGGCAAGGAGAAGAAAGCGCACATCCAAAACTGCTGCAGGGGAGGCATAAAACAAAATGACAAGCCATGAAGTGGGACAAAAGGCCTTGAAACACTAGAGGGAGTTGCCTGTTGAAACAGCCTTTCTTTCAGAAGCCTGGGCTGAACACAAGGGTACTAGTTTCATAGACAGGCAGAGAAAATTGTGCGCAAATCTCCTTACACCTGTCTGGTTTTGATAATTTTTGCCATGTAACGTTATTAGCTCCTCAGTTAAAAAGGAGCCGTGGTACACAGGGGGTTGCTTATTAATTGTTTTCATGTCATCAGAGCAGTGTGCACTTGGTGATTTAATCACCTAAATTCAGAGTCCAGGGAGATGGGAGGGGCTGCCACAGTACAGAGAGAGGGTGTAGCCATTAACATAAATTTACATCCATATGTTATTTTGCTATCCACAGAATTCTCATTTTTTCATCTTAAACAGAAGAAAAAAACTAGCACCAAAACAAAATTGGTAAGACAGTTGGTAAAGAAATAAAAAAGAAAAAAATATATTTGCTATCATTCAGTGATACTAGCTACTAAATTCAAGGCTACAATGATAATAAATAAGTAAATATTGCCCAGCAGTTGTACTCCACCATTTAAAAGTTTTAAGTACAATCCACACAATAGGTTTTATGGTACAAATTTCAGCATGTCCCGTAACTTCTATGTGCCTCAATTTCCCACCTGCAGATGGGAGATAACATCATTTACCTAAGAAAGGATTGCCATTGTGAATTACTATATAGAAAGCATTTTTGAGAAGCTAAGGTAGAAATCAGTACCAAATACTGGCATTTTTATTTTTAACAAGGGTGAGATAGTTATATTAATATACTCCAAGTATTTCCTTATGAGCCCTTTACAAAACAGGAAAGGAGTGTGTATATATACACAGCACAGCAAGAAGCACACAAACACCCTAAAAGAGATGAGTATAAAAAGATGGAAATCCTCCAAGAAAGAGAACCAGTCTAAAATTAAATCTGTGCTGTTTTCTCATAGTTCACAGAAGAAAAAATGTCTCCCTGTATTGGTATATTAAAACAAACACACAATCTTACTACCACAATACAACCAATGCTTAAGGGGCAGTGGCAAGCCATTGTTTTCCCTAGTTTCAAAAGGCTAATAAACATCACTAAGGTGTATTGCAGGTTGCTTTTCCTTGCTCTAATGACATGAAAGCTGCCCATTGTCTCACCCACAGGTACCATCTCAGTTACCTCATTGCAGGGCTCACACTCTGCTCCCAGAGGAGAGCAAGTGCTGCCAAGAGATTTCCATTGCAATTTCCAAAGTCACATCAAACCGACAAAACATCACAACGTATTCAGTGCCGCCTCATTCAAACAGAAAAAACTTTGAGTTTCCACTGTAATTAACCCTATCCTCGTTAAGATAATTATGATCAAGCTCCCTGTCACAGCTAATATCACAGCATCATTGCCTATGGCTCACGCTTTGCCCTCATTAGCTTACAAAAACACTGCGCTAAACAGGAAACTGACTCCCCCTGCAAAACGACTTAAGATGTTCTGTAACCAGACAGTAAATAATCCTTTGGAATACAAAGGTCTCAGAAATGTCATTTTATCCAAGTCCTTTGGCTAATCAGTATGATTTCTTCTAGCTTTCTTTTCCATAATTCATTCATGGTTTATAAAAAAGTTTTAATCATAAAGGAATGTCATGGCAGAGATTTTTTTTTTTTTTCCTATGTGTATTCATGGCAATTGTCAACTACACTATTTCATATGGTCCCTCTGGCCTGATGGGGATTCGGTTACAATAAAACTAAAGAGCAGCTCTTCGTTTTGGTAATATTTGACAACGAAAACACAAGATTTTATAAATGAAAAAAAGCAGAAGCCTCTCAAGTAAGGGACAAACCTTGGTACTCTTCAGTTGTCCTTGTCCAGAAGAACAAGCTGTTCATAAGTACACGCTGAAAAAGAAGTGTTCCTCACATTTTACCCCACCCCTCCATTAATAAGACAGCTGCCTCATATGTAATGACTTTTTCCTCCTGTTTAACAGGAAAAGAGAGAGCAGTTAACAATATGTAAATGAGAGAGTTTGGCTTTAGCCTTGAAATTGATTTGCACTCTGTTGACAAGAGATAGCCGTTACCAGAAGTTAAAGGCAGAGCTGTTACAAAACAAGAGCTTTATAAAATACCTTTTTTCTTGCCTTTTATGTTTTAACAGATTACAGGAGAGCAGAATCAACATGAGAACCCTAGTACTAGATAATTTCAGTATTTAAAGAACAGAAATGTAATTTCTATTTCTCCAGCACCTGCCAGCCAAGGAGCACAAAGCATTTTTTTTTTAAACATTAATGAATTACTCTTCAAAAACCTGCTGAGCTTAAAGTTCCATTTTGTAGTAAAGCAGAGAGGTTAAGTGACTAACGAAAGGTGACCTCCAGCAATTTTCTAAGAGACAAGGAATAAAACCCAGAGCTCCTGACTTCTAGTCCTTTGACTTAACCTCACCAAAACAAAACAAAGAGCAATAAATAAATGCTATATATATATAAAAGCATAAGACAGACACGTGTAAGTTTAGAGTTTGCATAATTCCCTGGGAATGCAAAACATCATTTTTGGTTGACTTACTTTGATTCCTGTTCAATTTTAAATTCCATTTAATCTGAAATATAGCATACAAATAAGGGAAAAAACCCAAGCCGTTTCCAATTGTGTTCTGATGGTAGAATGGGTTCGGTGAGTCTTCTGT